ACTAAGCAGTCGGCCCTTTTGCAAAACCCAGAGCAGCGCTGACCATCTCTGTCAAGCCCACAACTTCCCTTCGAGCAATAATTATATCCATTCAGCTCTTTCTCTGCCCAATTCAGCTCCTTCTCTTCTGCATGCCACCACGGCTCTGGACCACATAGTGCACAGTTCTGCCTGGTAATTCCCCATGGCTGAAAAGATCCGTGTTGTGTCCCCTCAATTTCCCTCAAAGCCACACTAGTCACTCACATTACAACATGTCAGATCTACAAACAACAGGAGAATCACCCCAGGGCTGGGAAAAGCCAGACCAGCATCCTGCCTCTGCCTGTCAGGTCCCTCTGAAAGAAAAGCATAGTGGGGATGCATCCTACGGATGCGAAAACTTGGGTGCGTTTTTATTAGAGCTCAATAACTTGCACTGTTAGAGCCTCCACAAACTCCTAGCACACACAGTAACATAGCTAGCGCCAGCAGCCCAGGGCCTTCCTGCCTTCTCCTTCCTGCCGTCTTTCTGGCTCAAGGGTAGAGGGATGTAATCAGTCTCCAGAGCATCTCATCCCTCCACTGAGAGACTATTTTCAGCCTGGAGACAGGCATTTTCATTGCCATTTCTGCTTTTGGGGCCAGCTTGCAGCTTGTTCTCCCCAGGAACACCTGCTCCCTTGGGATACTCTGGGCATCTGCAACTTTCCTCACCAGGTTACAGATGTTAAATGTGTGTGGTGGGGGGGGAAGCCTGGATCTGCCTTGTCTTCAGGTCCAAACCCTGGGCAACTAGGTCATTGAGTCCTTGGGAGAAACTCTTTGAGCTCTGATAAACTTGAATGCCACTAACAGCCTTTTTCACAACCTCACTGCTCAAACAGCCAGAGACCTGAATCCTGATCTCCTCCTTGTGCATGTCTGTGTCCACTTTATCTCTGCTCAGGGTGTCCCACCCATGCTGTTTCCTGGTCTAAGTCAAGCTCCCCCCTCCTCCACGCCCCCCTGGAGCTTCACACACTCTCCGAGGAGCCACCTCACCTTTCACCTTTCCTGCCAATTTAATGGATTTGTAAAATACACCAGCTCCTGCCAGGTGAGACACCACAGGACCCCAGAGCAATGGAAAAGTCACAGGGACGATCCACACAAATATCTGAGCTGCGGCCATATCTAGAGAGGAAGAAGAGAGGGAAATCTAGCATGTGAGATCTGACAGGCTCATAACAAACCCAGCTGGCTGGCATACACACCAAGCCCAAAACACCGCAGGCCACCCCCTCCCACCCTCCTGATACCATCACACCCCTCTGCAGTTAATTAAAAAGGGATTAAAGCAGGCTGTAAGGACGTGGGCGATGGCTGAGGTCAGGGGATGCCTTACAAACATATGCTGAGCCCCGCAGCTGGTGCTGTGGCAGTAGGCTGTCTGTTTGCAATGCTGACTTCTCCAAGGCTAGGGCAGGTCTAATCGGAGACCCAGGCAACTAATCCAGGATGCTTTTCTCTTGTAGTGCTGCTCTGGAAGGAGAGTTGTAGGGCAACGATAGGATTAGTGGTGCAGCAGCCCAGGAGGAACGCTTACACCGCTGGTAAGCGAGTTACTGAGCGTGACTGTGGCACACCTTGGAGGCTTCCGCGCTTTCCTGCCGGCTCTTCCTGAGGCTAGTGTTTAGCTGTGTCTCCTTCCAGAGCTCACATCCTATTCCACGTGAGCCATGTGTAACCATCACAACCCTGTTAGGGAGGTTCAGCTCAGACAAGCAGCTCTGTCGCAACAGTACAGGCCGTTCCAGTCCGCTCGTGCCTTTCCTGAAATGGGAGCGTTTCACCAGGGCAGAGCTCAGAGGGATTTTTGCAGCCACACAGACACCAGCCAGATAGGTCTTCCCCAGATCCAGCCTCATGTAAAGCCCTGGGAAAATGTCCGTGGACGGGGCATAGCAGTGAGGACTCTCATCTTATGTCTCTGGAAGAGCATACTCTTACCATGGTCATAGAGGGCTGAAAGTCACCTCTGGACAGGCACCAAACCTGGGGTTAAAGCCTTATTATCAGCTCCTTTCACCTTGAAGGGAATCACTCATTCCTAGGAAGATGGAGAGAATCTTAGCTGACTCTGAGAAGGTCATTTCTGAGTGCTGGGGTCCAGCTCTGCCCTGAGCAGAGGTCTCCAGGGGCAGAATAGGTGGCCTATCTGGGAAGATCCCACATGGAGAAAAGCAGAGGGCAGAGCTCAGCCAGGAAAGCAGGAACAAATGCAGGGATGGTGAAAACTGGAGTTAGCTAGCACAGAAACAAGGGCATGGGTCCAGGTCTGAAACCCACCCCTGAGCGATGGGACATGGTGTGTGGTGGCAGGAGAAGAGCTGTGGCCTCTCTCAGCCTGGTAGATGGACCATAGCACGCTGATGTCCCTGCTGGGAGCCCCTGGCCTCTCGGCTCATGTCTCTGCACAGAGAACTGACCTGGAGGGTGCTGGCACAATGCAACCCTCTGAAACAAGCCACTTGCGTCAGACCGTGGTTAGCAGCTTGGTGGTACATCCAAGCCTATAACTCAGGGCCGGTCCCTGCTGTGAGGACAGGCCAGTCCCTGGCACGTAAATGCTACCCCTTTGCCCGAATTGGTCACAGATCCCCTAAGGCACTTCAGTTCAGCCCCATACCTAGATGTAACAGTCCTGAAGAGCCCAAAGAAGCTCCTGGTGGCCTTTTAAGCTCTTTCTGTTACGAGTTCATTGCTTTCCCCAGCCCTCTGTAGTCTGAGAGCCCTGCTCCCCTCAGAGTAGACTGCTCCGCTCAGGATGTGACCTCTTTTAGGTATTTCTAAATTTTCCCAGTCCCAACGGCTTTGGTAATTGCAGCTGTCCCCCAGCAAACCTATGGTCTTGTCACCCAGCCTTGGAAAGTTTTCTCCCTCAGTACCTTGCACTTGCCAGAAACCGGCTGATTCATCCACTATGCCTCAGGCAACCCACGCAGGCACTGATGATTGAATTACTTAACAATTAAGCAGGGCCTTAAATCTTTGCAGCACTTAACATGTATTGACTAATTAATCCGAACATCTATCTGAGGTAGGTTAGTTCAGTCTTGCATGTCACTACAAAACATGCCCATGGCTGCCTTGCAGGCTGAAGGCAGAGGCAGGTCTGTGGATCCTCTATCCCCCTTGTCCACGTCTGTCCACGGGACCCTGGTGGCGCTGTCCCTCTGCATCGCAGGACCTGCTGGGACTTCAGAGGTCACCACGCCCAGAAGGAATCAGGGCATGCTGTTGCTCAGATTGTTAGACATCTGCTCAGTTTGGGCACAGAATAAAAACCATGCCCGCAGCCCAGGACCCTTGGCCAAGCTTGCTCTCAAATGGCCTCTTCTCCTGCATTTTCACTGGCCCTGCATGGTTGCTTCCTTCCCCAGCTCTGTCCCCCTTCTCCAGCTACCAACCAGGCGTACAGAGGGGTAGCCGTTTTCTGCAGAAGGAAACCCCAGGTGAGTTTTGAGGACAATTAGCTCACACTCCTGAAGGTCAGGGCGATGATCAGCTGGGAGGGCAGGATTTGCTGAGCTACCGACACCTCCAAGCAATTACGTGCCCTGAACGCGAGTGGGGAAACCATCTCGTGGGGTCCTGCTGGCACAAGCTCTGTTGACACGGGGGAATAAACTCGACATTCAGGACAGTGACCCAAGAGCACAGCAAGCTGCCGTACTTCATCATCCTTTAATTGCCACCCGGAGAGAGCCAAACTATACCAAGACCCCACTATATTAAGCATATTTGCACACACTGTCTCAGTTACGTAAAAACCCACACCCCAGACTGCGCTCTCAGTAGCGAATGAAGCCAGGTGCAGGAGGCAGGGAACCCACTCCCTGTGTGGATGAGCCGTGTCTCATCTTTGTGCAGACAAGCTGGGTGGGAAGATGCAGTGACTTACCCAAGGTTATGCAGAGAGCCAGTGGCAGAGGCCAGCATGCAGGTGACTCCCAACCATGTGCTTAAGCAGAGGGAAAAGGAGGAGGTTTGAAAACCTCCTATGGCAAAAGCTATGGATAGAGATGTGGAGATCTGAGCCTGCTTCCTTGCTCCTTGGGCTTAGTGCCTGAGCTTGAGCAAATAATTTGACTTTTCCCTCTTTCCTCCAACTCATTAATTTTCACCCAGCCAAGGCTGAAGGAAAAGGGCATGTCCTGGTGCCTCATGTATTGTCATCCATTAGCTAAGGCCGAAGCAGACATTAAGCCCCCAACCATGCCGTGGTCCTCGTAGTGGTACAGGATACCCCCAGCACAAGGACAGAGGGCCGAGGCGTATATGTCACTCTTTGACTTCCTGCCACCACAAGGTTTCAGAGATCAAAGTCCAAGTGCCTAGCGCTCATGCCTTCTCCCTACCTCCTGGCCACCCGAGGGCCTCGGTGGTGCAGTGACACCCCAGGGAAAGGCAGGTGGTGAAGCTGGAGAAATGCTCGACACAAAGCACCTGGCAGCAGCAAAGTGCCCTGCAGAGCCAGGCACTTGCGAAGCGGCCAGCTGGAAGAGAGCTTAATCTGAACAAGCTTGCACAGAAAAGCCAGGACTGGTGGAGTCAGGATCCCTCTGCTCCAGCCAGGTGGTATCTGTAGCAGCACGGCACTGGCCTGAATCAAAAGCATCAGCACGCATGGTGCTAAGGCATCTCTGCTGCTTGCAGTGGTACCCTTCGCCTGCCCTCCATCTGCAAGCTGCTGAGGACAGGCTTCCTGCCTCCCCTGTGCATATACCATTTGCTTGTTTTTTAACATGCATCTAACAACACCAAAGCGAGCCGGGAACCTTCCCCCCTCCCCTCCCTAGCAAATCCTGAGTTGTAAAGGAGAGGAACTTGCAGTCTAACACTTTACCTCTGGGTCATAAACCATCACATATATTAGCAGGGGTTGTTCTTTTTTTTTTTTTTTTCCCCCTTGCCTGAATATGTGCTGATCTCGCTCATCTTGGGAAAAGCACGGGGTGTTCTCATCGAGGCTATACCTGGCAAACTGCATACACTGTGACAGAGGGAGTGAACTTCTGAGCAAGCTCCGCAGTGGCTGCTGCCGGGCTCCTCGGGCTTCTTTCTCCGAGCGCAAGACTGGCTTCCCCACCTGGCGTTCCTGCGAGAGATGAAGGGTAAGTCAGCAAATCAGCTCCCTGCGCTGCAAACATCCTCTGCTTTCGGCCATGGCAGAATTCGTTCAGGTCGGCAGTTGCTGTTAGCCGGGAGAATAAACGCCGGCTGGGCTTGCTCCCCCCACCTCCACCTCGCAAAAATTTATGCGTGGAAGGAGAAAGCTTTTAACGTGCCGTACCCGTACGGAGGCAGGTTGCAGGAACGGGCGCCGCGGTGCCTGGCACGGCTCAGCAAGCGCTGCTGGGGAAATCGGCAGGGAACATTCTTGATTCTATTTTAAACGGCGCTAGAAAGCGCTAGCTAGCAACAGCGAAGCGAATCCGACGGGGCTGCGTGAAGCCAAGAGCAGCGACAGAGGGCTTTAGCCGCCCGCCTGTACAGCAGCGATACCCCGCGCAGCAGAAAGAGCTGTTTGCACTGACACGGGGGCTGGTTGCTTTGCTGGTTCGTTTGTCGATGTATTTGCTAACCGCAACGTTGCTTTGACATGCTGCCTGGCAAGCCGGGGTCTAGGTGCCTTGGCGTCACGCAGGCACCTCCGTTTTGGCTTCGTGGAGAGCAGCTGAGATCCGCCGGTGGGGCTCTGCAAATCACAGAAAAATAAATTGTAGCTAACCTGCTCAAAGGGGCGCAGGCTGCCGCCCGCGGGAGTGCTCGGCGCCCGCCAGTGCAGGCAGACGTTGCCTGCTTCTCTCCAGGGGAGGATGCCGCTCTTGCCGAGTGGCTGCCAAAAAACACCTCTGCTCTGCTGGCTCCCCCAGGAGTACCTTGCGTTGCTCGCCTGGGACAGAGCGGAAAGCGGGCATGTTGTGGGACCGCTGCATCTGTTGGATGCTGCTAAGGGAGGTATCGGAGATTAAGGGTAGTCTCTGAGATTAAATATACTGCAGCAACTCCCCAGTTGAAGATTAATGAATCCTGCAGATCTGGCCACTGCCGGGAACGTCCGCTTTTAAATCTTACTGTCTGCAGCGGCAAGAGCAATTGCGTGGAGTCTGCCGCAGCTCAATTTTGATCAGGTTAATTTGGGGTGAGGGGGGTTTGCTGGCAGTTAAAGGAGGAAGCCCAGGAGGCTGGTTAAGATGCAGAATTACCAGGCCAGGCTGAGTGTTCTTAAATTATATAAAAAGCTCAAAGCAAGGGAACATTGATTGGAGCCATTTGGCTTATGAAATAGGAGGGGAGACGCCGCTTCTTAAAGGGCTCACCTTATCTTCACAACAATGATTTTCCGAGATAGAGCTTGTTTTGCAAAGCCCAGATGCTGCAGTGTTGGACATTACTGCAACCAGCTGTGTTGGCTGTTGTCTGAACGCCAGGCCTTTCTGGAAATGGTTTTCATGCAAGCAAAACTGCTCTCAGAGAAAATGTGACATTGTAGGGAAGTTTTTTGCACGCACTTGTTTTCTGCATGTGGGTATCTGTGCTCAGGGCAGGAGGAACAGATGGGATGGAAGCAGGACCTGCTCCCTGCCAGACCCTGCGTCTGAGCAGCCAAGCCAGTGGGATGGTGTTACTGCAGTTGTGCCGCCAGGCATCGCGCAGGGCCGTGCCTTTGAAAAGAGAATCCCAACTGTTTTTAACGCAAGGGTTGTTTTCGCTGCTTTTGGTGCTCACAGTTTCGAGCATCTCATAGCTGAGACTGGTCCCTGTTTCTAAAGAGCTGGCATCAAAAGCGCAGTGCTGCCAGGGGACCGTCCTGCAGGTATGCAGGGAGCACTTCTAAACGATCGTTGCATGCTCCAGGGCCGGGACAGCCACGAGGTCCCTGCCTCCCCTCCTCTCCACTTCTCCTGGCGCACGCCTCAGTGTTCCCCGCTCTGGTTTCTTGGGAAAAAACACAAAAGCATTGGAGAAATGAGGTCTCCATGATGTGTTTTGGGGTCTGATCTCTGGACAGTGAGAGGACTTGCTGGCCAAACTGTGGCAAAATGACCCAAAAAGGAGCCTGAGAGCAGGAACCAAAGGGAACGTGGGACTGGTGCTGGCACCACAGGCTGAGCCAGCTGGAGGGGCAAGGAGACAGGTCAGGGAGCGAGCCTGCCACTCAGGCGCTGGCAGCAGGGATGAGAGCTTCGAGCTGACACCCAACCCCAGCTGGAGGACACAGTGAAAATCCTGAGGAGGGTGAGCTGGCAGTGTTGATTCGGAAATATCGGAAATCGGAAACGAGGGCGAATAGCAGTGAATCCTCACGGAGGGGAGGGGATCAGGGATTGAAAGGAAGAGGTAGCATTTGGGTGTGCAGGACCATCTGGCTGTTTCTGGATATGGAAGGGGTGAGGATACATAAGTACGTGCAGACCCAGGCATATGACTTCGGGGAACTGGTCTCCTCACTAACTCAACAGTTTCTGTCCTTGCAGGTGAGCACACAAAGCCACAAATGAGTGATTTCTGCATGCTTGCAAGAAAAGGGATCTTTGCTCATTCTCTACTTCTCTATTAAACTTGACATTGCAAACTCCGCTTTACCTTTCCTTTTGGAAGGAAAAGAGCAGTCACTCAGAAGACTTATTTTTAAATGCAGTAGTGCAAGGGATGTAAAACACAACACTCCTCACAACTTTAATCTACGCTAAATTCCCAATGGCTGGTTCATCACTGACGATAGCCAACATATTCGGCGGTCCAAGAGCACTTCCACTGAAGAAGTAGCCTTCTGCCATTGAATTGCTACTTTGCTTTCTTTCACTAGATTTTCTCCGCTAAATTTATGACCTGTAATTTTTTTTTAATACCACTGAGGACAAAGGATCCTCTGTAGTGAGCAACCATATTAAAATGTGCCTATTAAAGCTAATGCTGTGAAACCGCAGGGGTTGAACGCCGCAGGCTTTGGTAGCAGCGGTTCTGATGTTTCTAATCTTTACGGTTATAGGAACAGTTTGTAGAACAATGTTGCTGTTGTCCAGCAGGCTAGAGGTCTGGCAGAGGGAGAGTGAGGACTATGCGTGGGGGAAAAAACTTGCAGCTCTTCAGCTTGCAAGAGATCTTCCAGTTAACTTTTACCTCTTCATCTGGGGTGGAAATGGAGATGGAGTGAGGGCTGTCACTCCATGGCATCAGACTGATTGATAATTTGTCAAGCAGGGCTTGGTAGGAGGCTCCCGCTAACAACTGGGCATTCCTGATTAATGACCTGGATCTCCAGGAACTGCTTCATCCACCTCCAAAGCATGGTCACTGCTTGGCTTGGCAGGGCTAATAAAGCAACGTATAAGCTGTTATTGAAGTGGGTGTGGGTGTAGCTTTTTAGCCCTGACGCCCTCCCACCTTCTTGCTATGATTTAATTAGAGTGCTAAAAGTGACCGAGCACCACCGCACAAACTGATCCGGGCTGGGCTGCTTCCCTGGACAAATGCCCTGAGTAACTCAGTCTAAATAGTCAAACTAGTCAAAGGGTAGGAAGGAGCCACTATCTTCCTATTATGGGAGAAAAATGGAGACACAGCAGCTTCCGGACAAGTCCAGAACTGCACAGCGCTGAGCTGAGAGCCATACCCAGGTCTCCTGCCTGCCCCACAAGCATCATCTTTAAATCAAGCAGGGGCCGCTTGACATTCCTGAAAAAGACACATCACATGAGAACGTCACCCTGTGGCTTTCCATGCGCCTGGACGCTCGCACCACAAAGTGACCCTCCTCTTCAGCCTTACTTACTGACTTGTGTGCTAGTGCAGGCTGCCCTGAGAAGTATCCAGATCCCGTAGGGACCAAAAGCAGGTGAAGGCAAAGATTTCCGATATCCCAGAGCAAGGGGGATTATGTCACACGCAAAACCAGCACATTCCCAGCGGCTGTACGCATACACTGAGGCAGCCACGTAGCCAGCAGCTCCAACATGACAATACTGACCTGAACAGCAGCCAGATCATATTTTATGCGAATGTACCATTCTTGAGCAATTTTTCCAGCACAGCCCACACAAACAGGTTTTCCTTGAACACTGCACGGCAGCATTCACCACCTCATGCCAGCTTTTTTTTTTTTTTTTTTATAATCATAGGGGTTTTTTTATTCTGGAGGAGGATGTGGGAGGAGGGCTCTTGGGTATCATGTAGTGTCTCTCTCCTGGCCTGAAGCAGCTGCTGCCAAGTGCAGTGTTTGAGCAGCCTGTCCTCGGGGCTGCACTAAAACCATGCAGGTTTCACTGATCTAGTAGAAACTCTAATTCACGTGGCCAGTTTTGCTGAAGCCAGACAAGAGCCCACCTTTCCACAGGAAGTCTTAGGCCTTCAGTTTGGCACGTACATGTCGGTCTATCAATATGTCCTTCCTCTTGTCAGGGCAGGAACTAGCCCTCCCAGGAAGGGCGTTTTAACTCTTCCGGGTTTGCAGGCAGCAGGTTGCACTGCAGAAGCAGCATTCATGGTTCAGTTCCTTCAGGTAGCACTAGATACTAGTGTCCGAGATAGATACTTTGCTAAATTAGTTAAACTCTCAGTGGTGGACAAAAGGCCGTGGAGGCAAATTTGATGGGGCTCTTTAGAGTCCGGGGTCTACCTGAAGTTCCATACACATCCCAGCTGGTCCCATATACCCTGCTCTCACACTGACCTGGAGTTCAAGCTACAGTGAAAGCAGGGAGTGTTTAAGGCTTTCCTTGGCCCAATTTATCAGCTTCAGCCATCCAACAGTACCTGAAGAGCAGATAGGACCTGCCCTTGAGATACAATCCTGGCTTGCTGCCTGCACATCCTCTTCTTGCCTGTGGGAGCTGTGAGCGCAGACCCAGGTCAGGCCATGGCTCTAAGACCTCCCAGGCTAAAAGGGATTGTCTATTCCTATGGGGTTGAGCAGTGACCCCAGTCCAGGATCCCACACATTTGTAAAACCATATGTGATGTACCACCAGGTACGTTAATTATTTTTGCCTAATTTAAGGGCAATGCAATGGCTGGAGTCTCTCCCTTCGCATATAGGAGAGCTGGAGGGATGTTTTGAGGGGAGCTGCTCTGCTTCTAGGCAGCAGTTTCTTTGAGATGAGTTTGAAATCTCTTTGGGTTATTCATTTCTGTTTGTGGGAGGGAGGGGGAAGCACAGCCAGCTCTGTCTCTCCCGCTCTTCTGCCCCTTCTTATCCTGATTTGAAGAGCAGAGGGGAAAAAAGGGGAATTTAGGAGGAGCTCATGGAGATTTCCGCTGTGCTGTCTCATTCACTAGAAAGCTGACATATTAGTTCTTCTTTGATCAAATTTGCCCTGAAAAGCCCATTAATTCTAACCCCCAGAAAAAGACTGGAGGATGAAAACCTGCTTTCCCTCGTTTTCTTATCAATATTTGATCTTCAATCTGTGTTTGTCATGAGTAAATTTCTGCCCTTTAAGTCTTCCCAAATAATCAAAAAAATTCTGAGTGGAAATTGAATGCACCTATGAAGATTGTCCTTTATTTATAACGTGATGCACTAAGCCATGCTCAGCAGTAGCAAATGGCTAAAGAAACCTCTGTGTCA